CTGACGCTGCCGTTGTTAAGCTCCCCGTGGGTCTCTCACCCACATTTCTTTCAACCAGTCCAAGGCCAAGAAGCAAGCACAGTTTCTTCACATGTCTCTCTGCTCCAGGTGCCTCCTCCAGGTCTCCTTGCTTTCCATCCTGCTTCCTTCCTTCCCCAGGCTCCTCTTCAGCTTTATGTACTCCCTGCTCAGCTCCACCCACCCTTGGGTGGAGCAGGGAACCTGGAACCTCTCCTTTCTCTGGGGGCCACCCTGTTACAATAATCCACCAGTTTGTTCACACATCCGTCTCACCATCTACTCATTCACCTTTCAAACGGTCCCTCCGCCTACCAAATCAGCCACTTCCCATCGGCCTATCTATCGAATAAAGATATACTAAGCATCATCTATATGCTGGCACATCGCTAGGTGCCGTGGAATGAACAGAACACAGGTCCTGCCAGCTGTGACTTTATGACAAGGGAAATAACGAAAGCTCTAGCAGTCAGGATAGAAGGGAAGAGCAACAAGTACCACAAGGCCTGGCGTCCTCTACTCTAAACCCTCAGTTTCCATATCTGAGCGGTTTGTGTGATGAATGGGCTTCAGGGGCCCTTGTCCAGTGTGATTTCCTGAGGAGTTTTTTCCTCAGTTTTTGCTTTCTTAATTCCTCATCTCCCTTCTCTGTCTTGGTCTCACTTCTGTTCCCCTGGGGGAGAGCCTTAGGCGTCAGGCTGGGGTTTCTGCTCTGAGGTGACTTGTCAACTAAATAACATTTAAGACGACTTTGTGTGGGATTATTTTGAGTATTGTTTTATTTTTGTCCTGGTGACATACAGGTATTAATGACACCGAAACACTGAGTAAGAATAGGAATGTGTGGATAGGACTTTGACTCCAGATTGGAAGCTGATGTAGAGAGGAAATTAGAGATCAAGATGAGTAGGTCATTGCTGGTTGGATGATGGATGGCAGATGGTGGATGGATGGGTGGGTGGATGGAGGGTTGATGGTTGAGTGATGGATGGATGACAGATGATAGATGGGTGGATACATATGAGTGATGGATGGATGGATGGATGGATGAATAGTAGATGAATAATGGTTGAACGATCAATGATGAATGAGGGATGAGGGCTGGATGATGGCAGACAGACCGATAGATAAGAACAGTCAGTGAAGTCTCTGTGTCCCTATGAGTCTTACAGTTTTCACTGAGATTCTTGTTCCTCAGAGTGGTAAAAGTTCAGTTCCTGGGGTCAGACACATGTGGGTTTGGACCCCAGATCTACTGACCCCCTGTGAAGAGGGGCTTAACCTCTTTGATTCACAATTTCCTCCTGTGGAAAAGGAAGACCACAGTACACTGGCCACCTTACCAGAGACAACATGTGGATTAAATGTGGGTTAAATTCTTTGCACGGTGACCAGTACACCAAAAACACATGAAAACTTAACTTTTATTAGTCATTTAATCAAATGTTGTTTGAGGCCTATCACGTGTTTGGTATCTGACATGCTATAAAGAGGAGGGCCCAGGGCTGTCTCCAGAGATGCAAATAACATTATGTTCTTTTACGGAGTGGAGTCATGTTAAGGGGGCATGAAATGCACAGTGGCCTGGGTGGTCCTCTAAACAGTCATTCCGAGTCGGAGCGCTGACCTTTGCCCTATAAAGGGTTCCTCGAGCTGTGTTCCTTCAGAGGCCCCATCCTTGAGAACGCTTCTGCCTGCCAAACAGCGTTTATTACATAATTGCCCGGGCACTCAAATCAGGGGTAAAGGCCAGGTTCCGTTGAGACTTTTGAAACCTTAATTGTGCTCAAGAGTCTCCACTGCAGCTTTCAGGGCGCCTGCGGCTGGCTTCCAGAGCCTCAGTGAGCCATGGAATCTCCACAGGTTCCTGCTAAATCCAAGATTCCCGGCTTCTCTCTGAGTATTTTGGATTCAGTGGGTCTCCAGCGGAGCCTCAAACCCAAAGGCTTTTCCAGCCCCCAAAGTGGCTCTGAGGGAGGTGTACTGGAACCCACTTTGGGAAATGTTGGCCCCAGGCTATAACCATAGATTCTGGGTCTCAGCTCAAGAGTCTCAGGCCAAGCTAGAACAGGGACGGGGAGCAGGAGGGAGAGGTGCAACTGGGGCCCCTCACCCACACCTGGAGGGCTGCATGCCCTCAGGGCCTCCTCAGCCCTGGAACTGGAGTGGGTGTGAGGGAGGATGAGGCAATCTGTGAGGCTCTGGGCACTTTCACCACATCAGGAGAAGGCAAGAATGGGAAGCCCAAGGCATAGCACCAGAGGGTGGATCTACAGGTAAAGAGAAGCCCAGATGAATCCACCAGATTCCAGAGCCCCCAAGAGCCCCATCTCTCAAGGACAGCCAAGTCCCCACAGCCGGTGGAGAAGGTCTGGGGCTTGTGAACTCACCGCAAGATCAAAGTACAAGTTAAGCGTCTTTTGGTCTTGTTTTCCCTTTGGGTTTAGATAACTTTATAGGGGCGAGTCAGAGAAGGTTCATGAATTCATTTATTTGGGAAATGTGTGTTGAGTGCCTCCTGGAAGGCACTGGGAGGTAAACAAAGCCAGTCACTGGCCTGATGGTGCCAGGCTGGAGCTCCGACTCCAGCCTCTCGGGCACAGTGACAGCCAGGACCCTAAAACTATTTCTCTCGTCACTGATTAAGGGGGCGGGGAGCAGGGGAAGAGGATGGAGTAAAGTCTCTGTTGCTTGTTCAAGTGCCAATCCCTGCTCCTTAGAATAAAACAACAATAGTGGCGATGACATTGGCGACGATGGCACGTTGAGCGAACTACCTTGTGCAGGTGCCATTTTAAGCCCCTCACAGGCATTCAGTCGTTTGTTTTTTTTTTTTAATTTTTTTTAAAGATTTATTTATTTATTTATACGAGCACTGGGTACAGTCAGAAGCGCGGGAGGGTGAGAGAATTCACCAGAGCCAGAGCGGGGAGCAGAGCAGGCAGAAGGACCGAAGTACACTGCTGAGGGGAGCAGCGGGCGGCAGGAGAGGTCTGCGCGCCATGCGGGACCCTCCTCTGGTGGCCGGGGAGCAGAAGGGGATCGAACTGGCGCTACAGAGGCTGCCGACAGCCTTGCAACCCAGCGCTCAACCGCTGCACCACCGGAGAGGCCCGACATTCAGTCGTTTAACCCTCACAACAAGCCCATGAAATGGGGCCACTTTTAGCCCCATCTTACAGACGAGGACACAGGCTCACAGAAGTGTCATGAGCTGCTGGTGGCACACACCTGGCACCGCACAGCAGGACCCGAATCCAGCTACACCTCACCCCAAATGGTGGACTTTCCTCTGTGCCATGCAGTCTTGTCCAGGCTGCATGACTGCACAGCCAAGGGGCTGACATGCCTCACACCCCAGAACTTCCCTGGGCCCAGGGAGGTGGCAGGGATCCCAGGTTTCCCAGAAACTCCCCTGTGGGTACTGTCAGGGTCTGGGCGCCTGGGCTGCCTGGGTGTGGTTTCAGATGGTTTCACAGGCAAATCAGACCTCCAGTAACTACCCGCTGGGTGTCTTGATTTTTAGATTGGGGGGTGTTGGTCAGAGCCTTGAGGAGATTAGATGTCTTGTCCAGGATCACATGGCAAAGCCACCGCAGAGCAGGACTAGAAAGTGAGTCTTCCGATAACCTGCCCATGGCAGTTCTCAGGGGTGTCTGAGTGTGTGCTGTGAGCGAGAGAGAACAAAGGAGCCAGTGATGCACGTGTGCCCGGGGCTGGTGTGCTGGTCCCGAAGGTGCTGCCCGGCCGAGAACTGCCCGACCCTCTTGGGTCACCTGAGGAAATCCCTCTTGTTACTTTACCAGCACATATTTTTTTGGACTCCAAATTGCACCCAGGTAGTCCTCACACACATTCCAGTTTTTGTTCCCAGAGAGAAAAACTAGAAAAGTGCCCAGAGAAACCATCTAGAAAACCTACCCTAGGGCCTCCCCGGTGGTGCAGCGGTTGAGCGCTGGGTTGCGAAGCTGCCACAGTCTCTGCAGCGCCAGTTCGATCCCCGGCTGCTCCCCGGCTACCGGAGGAGGGTCCCGCATGGCACGCAGACCTCTCCTGCCGCCCGCTGCTCCCCTCAGCAGTGTGCTTCAGTCCCTCTGCCTGCTCTGCTCCCCGCTCTGGCTCTGGAGAATTCTCTCACCCTCCCGCGCTTCTGACTGTACCCAGTGCATGTATAAATAATAAATAAATAAATCTTTAAAAAAAAAAAGAAAACCTACCCTAGTTCTGAGACCAGGTCCCCATGGCAGTGACTGTTCCCAAAACGCAAATCCACCTACCACAGACTCTGAAAGCACCACAGGGGAATTTCCAGGAAAGCCTTGGTTTCTGGCCACCTCACGAGGCCCAGGTGCAGTTGCCCAACAGTGTGACCCTGAGGGGCAGCACCGAGGGCCAAGCAGGTTCTGTGTGTGAGGAATGTCAGCCCTGTGACTGCAGTCACACCATGACCATGTGACAGGTCGTGTGTGTGTGTGTGTGTGTGTGTGTGTGTGTGTGTGTGTGTAGTCTGTCAGCTCAGGAACCACTGAGAGGCCTTAAGAGGAGGGGAGGCCACTCAGCATTCACTGAGGGCCTACTCTGGGGCTAGGAGTTTTAGAACAGGAGTTCATTGGCAGTCTCTAGATAAACATCCCCATCTTACAGGTGAGTCAACTGAAGTCAAAGAGCTGAGGTCACCCAGACAGTAAGTGGCAGAGCCAGGATTCGAACTCTGCTCAAGGGCCTGTCCTGAGAGGGGGAAGCAGGCATGGCTTCAGAGACGTGTGGGCGGCTGGGTCTTTGCTCTGCCCCTGCCTCTCCAGTCTCAGTGTTCTCACCTATAATATGGTGTCATAAAATAAATGGGTGGTGAGAGGTGTGATGTCAACTGGGAGTCCAGTCTGACCAGGGTTGCATGACCTGGCCTCCTCCTAATAATTACAGGCCTGTTGTGCCCTGCCTGGCCCACCCCCACTGACCCCTACCTCTTGGCCCTCCCACAGATCATTATTGGGATTTCCACCCGCACCACATGCACAGCGAGTTCGAGAACTTCCCCGAGAACCACTTCACGGAGCTGCAGAGCGTGCAGCCCCCCCAGCTGCAGCAGCTCTACCGCCACATGGAGCTGGAGCAGATGCACGTGCTGGACACTCCCATGGCAACCCCCATCAGCCACCAGGTGCGTGCTGGCTGTCCCGCAGGGGCCCGAGGCCTGTGGTGAGGCCCCGCGCTCACAGGAAGCTGACACAGGCTCTTACTCAACCCAGCTTCCTGCCCCACAGCGCCAACGGGCCGAAGCCCAACGGCTGCCTCCTGACCCTCCGACTGACCTCGTGACCCCACATCCCTTATCTCCTCTCACCCCACCATGGACGATGGACGGAGCCCAGATAATTACCCCCCAAGCACACATACTCATCCAGCCGACCCTGAAGGCCTTGTCATGGGCCCCCCGACCCTCACTGACTGCAGCCCCTATTCACAGGCCCCTCATGATCTCACATCCAACACCCTGAACACTGAGCTCCATGGCCTCTGCTGCCTCCGCCCCACTGGCCCCCCTCGCCCCCTCCTCCTCCGTCTCACGGACGCTCATCCCAGGCAGTGTCCTTCGTGGACCTTGACCGTCCCTCGCTGACCTCCGTGGCCCTCACTCACACACTTACTAAACCACAGTCACTCTGTACCCGCTTCTTTGGACCCCAGGTCTGACCCGGATGCTGCCCATCCAGGCAGCTCCTTTTTACAAACAAGAAAAAGGTGTCCTGGCCCTGAGACTCTGGGCCTAGAACCAGAAGCCCCAGATTGGTGGGAATCCAGTGGCCCTGGACCCCTAGAACCTGCCGCCTCTATGTGCTGCCCTCCCTAACCTCTGGACCTGGCCAACCCCTAACCCCAGGCCTCGCCCAGATCTTCCCACCCGCTGACCTCCCTGCCCTCAGCCCTCCCTCTTCCCTCCTCGGCTGACTCCCACCTTGCTGCCCTGGGCCTTGCACTGACCCTCACTGACCAAAACCTCTTTTCCAGGTCCCCTACATACCCCGGATGTGTCTCCCATACCCCTCTATGTCCCCAGCCCAGCCCAGCTCGGATGAGGAGGAGGGCGAGCGGCAGAGCCCCCCACTGGAGGTGTCTGACGGGGAGGCCGATGGCCTGGAGCCAGGGCCTGGCCTCCTGCATGGGGAAACAGGTAGAGGGCCCGGTCCCAGACCCCCACCCAGTCCCTGTCCTGGCTGTGTCTTTGTCCCGTGCCCACCCCGGCCAACCTGACGGCCACATCAGTCACACCCCAGAGATGGTGAGCGTGTGAATGTTGGCCAAAGTCTGTGGCCACCTCTACTTAAGTGTGTGTCTGTGAGCATGTGTGTGTGCCATGCACACGGGCGTCTCTGTGACTGAGTGTGGGAGTGTGTGTGGGGGGCATTGTGGGAATAGATGTGTGGGTTGGATGTGTGTGCGTGGGAGTGCGTATGCATGTACGTGTGGGTGTGTAGGTATGAATGTGTGTGTGGCAGTGTGAGCATGTGGGTGTGAGTGAGTGTGAGCGAGTGTGAGGATGTGCACCACCCATGGGGGAGTCAGTCCCTCCCCCAGTGATGGTCCCACACGGTCTGCACCTGGCAGGTGTTGGGGTGTTGGGGTGCTGACCTCCTGGTGCCCACAGGCAGCAAGAAGAAGATCCGCCTATACCAGTTCCTGCTGGACCTGCTGCGCAACGGTGACATGAAGGACAGCATCTGGTGGGTGGACAAGGACAAGGGCACCTTCCAGTTCTCGTCCAAGCACAAGGAGGCGCTGGCCAACCGCTGGGGCATCCAGAAGGGCAACCGCAAGAAGATGACCTACCAGAAGATGGCCCGCGCGCTGCGCAACTACGGCAAGACGGGCGAGGTCAAGAAGGTGAAGAAGAAGCTCACCTACCAGTTCAGTGGGGAGGTGCTGGGCCGCGGATTCACGACCGAGCGGCGCCACCCACCCCACTGAGCCCAGGCCTGTGCCCCCGGGGCCGTGAGGCCTCCCCACCGGCCATAGCATTAACCCCCTGTCCAGTTGGACACAGGGAGGGACGTTTGGAGGGGTGGGGGCTGGCAGGTGGAAGCTGCCCCTCCTTCTCCAAAGACCCTCCTCTCCCCTTCCCCACTTCCCACCAGGACTCCACCCCAGACGGCTACAGTGGCCCAGGAGTTAGCCTCACTTAGTACCGAGGGGTGCTTCCTATGGCGTTTGAAGCCACCATATTGTATAAATTAAACCAACATTTCTGATGATCCGAGCACCGGAGCACCTGCTTGCTTCCCATTAGCTTCCTAAGTGACCCGCATTATTAAAGTTATTTGCTGCCTTCTCTTAACAGTTTTTATGCACCTTCTCTGAGGCCTGTGCAATCTCTTTTTCGCATGTCTCCCGTGGGCGCTGACAGAGGCCCCTGCGCCATGCTAGATGCCAGAATCCAAAAAGAAACGACACATTTCTGACCTGGGGTTAGAGCAGGTGGACAGGCGTCCTCGGTGGCCTTAGAAGAATAACATTAAAAAGCTCCCCCGCACCCCAACCCCGCCCCCCATGCACAAATGCGCTTTCTTTTAAAAGCCTCAATGAGGTTTAAACATGTGCTCTCAGTTATGCTGAAGGCCGGGATCATGAAGTAACCCTGGGTTTTCTGGCCATTTATCGCATGTCAACCCACTTTACTAACGGGGATACCGAGGCTCAGGGAGGTCAAATAATGTGTCCACGCTCACAAAGCTGGTGAGGGCGGGCTGGTCCCACTCCATGCGGGGTGACGTGTCTGAATGGGGTCCCAGTCAACGTGGCGAGGAGCAGGTGTGAAGCCCCAGAGCTTGTGTGGACGTGAAGTGTCCTCGCAGGATATAAGCCGCAGGAGCCCAGACACAGGGGAACCCCTGGGGGGGAGCCAGGCTCCTAACCCAGAGTAACAGAGAACCAGGCGGGCCGGGGGTGGCAGGCAGCCCGCAGGCCTCGGAGGACCCGTCTGGGCCATGAGGGTAAGGCCAGCAGCTCCCCTCCCACACACACTGCCTTGCCCACAGGGGTGCCCGCGGCCCAAACTTCACGCTCCTCCCCAGTGGGCTCAGAGCCCCGGAAGGAAACCAGTGCTCAGTCCTCTTGAAAAGAAGCCGCAGGGGCATGTGATTTGATTTAAAAGAGGTTAAAATGTCAGCAAAGAACAGATTCCAGAAGTTTGAGAGACAGTCCATGTGGACAAGGTTTGTATGAGAATCGCACAAAAGGGGGGCACAGATAATTGTTCCCTGTAGTGGGTCTTGCTTGAACTGGGTCACATGGAATTTGCCTGTTTCTGTGTAGCAGCCAATGCCTGCCCCCGACCATGTGGGGTGTGCGTGTGTGTGTGTGTGTGTGTGTGTGTGTGTGTAAGGAATGGGGCAGTCACAGGGGGCAAAGGGTCACAGAGGAGTGGTGGAGGGGACATGAGGGGATTCAGAACACTGGCAGGGATTTTTTTTTTTTTTTTTTGTGGGACCCTTGCCAGTGGCCAGGGATCGAACTGGCGCTGCAAAGGCTGCGAGCAGCCTCACAACCCAGCGCTCAACCGCTGCGCCACCAGGGGAGGCCCTACTGGCAGGGATTTTGTATGACTTTAGCAAGAGCCAGCTCTGCCTCTCTCTTGCATTTGGGACACATGGAAAATGTACCCCATCTCCTCACGGGCAGGCTCACCCAGCCCTTCCTCTTGGGTGACACCTGTTCCCAGCACTGCTCTCTCCCCACCTGGCCCTGGACTAAGCCCACCCAGGACCCCACAGCAAGAGGCCAGGCCAGGCCCCATGAGCCCCAAAGCTGGGGCCACATAGAGCAAGCACTGGGCCAGCACGAGCCTGGCGCGGCCTCGAGCACTTCCCACTCTCAACCCGCTTTATTCATGGAACAGCCTGGCGCACTGGGCGCTGCTATCACCAAGCCCCCCTTACAGAGGAGGAAAAGAAGGTGCCGGGAGGTGAGGCACTGGCAGTGCCAGGACTCGGGGTCTGTGCACCTACCCATCGCCCACACCACCCAGCAGGGGTGCCCTGGATCCATCAGCCACAGGGTGACGGGCCCAGCACACTCCCACTGTACTGTTTCCCTGCCAGGCAGACAGACAGACAGGACTGGGAGTATCCCTGAGGTCCCCCAAGGATTGGGGGGCAGATAACATCATATTGGGCTGAGGGGTGGGAAAGGCCAGGGCCAGCCAGGAGCAAGGGAGCCCCACCTTCTCCCTGGAGGGCCACTCTCGGGAATTTGTCTATATTTAGCAGTGGCTGGACAGGAGGCAGATAAGGCGAGCGGGCGAGAGGGGGGAGGGCCCTTATATAGTGCGGGACGGTCCCGGCACAGATATTCTTTGGGTGGTCTGAGCCTGCCTGGTTCTGGGGGCGACCTCTCTCAAGATGCCCGAGCCGGGGAAGAAGCCAGGTAGCTCCAGATTTGGGGTTGGGCTGAGTGTGGGTCCAGGGAGGGTTGGGGGACATCTACGATCGGGGGGGCAAGCCTAGGAGTACCTGAAGGGTCCTGAGGACTAGGCTTCTGAACCCCAGGACAGGGGCCTGTTCTTTCTCCTGGGTCTTTTTGACTATTTCTCCTTCTCGTCCTTCGGAGGGGATGAGGGTAAACGGTCAGGCGCTCAGAGAGGCGAGGGGGCCGTTGAGGGAAACCTCCAGGAGAGTGACCCCATTCTCAGGCTACAGAGGGGCCCCCTTCGTGCCCCCACCCCCATCTCCTGCCTGGACTCGCCTTTGGGAAAAGGCTGCTCCAGGCCGAGTCTGCTCCTGTGCGCCCTGAAAGCTCTAGGACTAGTCCCTCCCTCTCTGGTCTCGGTTTCCCCATCTGTACAAGGAGGGGTTGGGTTGTTTCTTTCCAGCCGTGGGGGTCTCTGCTTTATGCACCTGCACCCCAGTGGCGCCACAGCCAGCACGGCTCCCACGGGGAGGGCAGCGCGGCCTACCCCGCGTTCTGGGAGAGGACGGTCAAGAGGCTCCAGGTCAAGGACAGAGAAAGTCACAGCGCAGGGTCCAGGCCCCAACCTGCTCCTTTACTAACATTGTCCAGGGCAGGAATCCAGCCCTCCAGCCCCGGCCCCGACCCAGGTCAGCTTTATCTCGTGTTGATTCGCAGCCAGAGGCCTTTGGAAGACAAATTTAGCCACATCCAAGTAGGCCCCCTTGCCAAGGGCCCCAGATAGCGGGGAGAAGGGGGAGCTGGGCTTTCCTAGGCAGGGAGGATGGGTAATCCAAGAACACACCAAGCAAAAGTCTTGCGTGGAGGTTAGGGCCACAGCACTGGCTGGCCCCCTGCTGGCTGTGCGATCCCGAACAGGTGCCTTAACCTCTCCGAGCCTCGGTGTCCTCAGCTGAGAGATGGTATAACAGCTAGGCCTACCTCAAGGGGCCATCGGAGCATTAGTGAGGGGATGTGTTCAAGTGCTTATCGCCATTTTTAATAAGAGGGGCTGCAAGGATGGGGTGCTGGGGCAAGCTGGGGCCCCCTGCCAGCCTCTCTTGGCCTCTCAGTGTCAGCCTTCAGCAAGAAGCCACGGTCAGCGGAGGTGGCCGCGGGGAGCTGCGCCGTGTTCGAGGCTGAGACGGAGCGGCCGGGGGCGAGGGTGCGCTGGCAGCGGGCCGGCGGGGACATCAGCGCCAGCGACAAGTACGGCCTGGCGGCCGAGGGCGCGCGGCACACGCTGACCGTGCGGGACGTGGGTCCTGCCGACCAGGGGTCCTACGCGGTCATCGCTGGCTCCTCCAAGGTCAAGTTTGACCTGAAGGTCACAGAGGCAGGTAAGGCCCCGGTCAGCCTTGTCTGAGTTTCTGGGGGCAGGGCAGCCCCACCACTTCCCTACTCCTCAGGGCCTAGGAGGCGCCCCCCCCCCCACCGTCCTGGCTTTGGCTGCGCCCTCTGAGGGGTGCTCTTTCCCCTTTTGGGCAGCAAACCTGTCTGAGTGCCCCTTGCGCTCGCCGGCCTTTTCATCCATTATGGAGGTGGGGAGACTCAGACATAGCCAGGCCTCACCCTGCCCGCCCCGTGGACACCCACACACAGCTGACGACCTGGCGGGCTGTGTGCTGCAGGGTGCCCGGGAGCTGTGGGGTGGAGGGAGCCCCGGCCCAATCTGGGGACAGGACCGAGGCCAAGGCTTGGGGCAGGAGAGGAGCGGGTGTAGGCAGACCCGTGGGGACAGAGGGCCTGTGAGGGGGAGCAGGATGTGAGGTGCAGGCTGGCTCCCCGCACCAGGCCCCTGAGGGCCGAGCAACAGGACGAGGAGGAGGAGCTTTGGGCATCTTGATCCAAGCCCGTTGCGTCACGGAAGTGGGCTCGTGGACGTGAAGCTCAGGAGAGAGGAGGCAAAGGGAAGAGGGGTGCACAAGCTCACAGAGGTGATGGGTAAAACTCGGGGAGAAGAGGGGCCTTGGGGGCAGTGGGGGAAAGAGGGGCCAGCTGAGCTCGGCAGCCCCCGCAGTAGCTGATGCAAAGGCCGAGGCGGCTCAGGGACGGGAGGACGGCGCTCTGGTTAGAAGCTGCGCCATGACACACCCCCACCCCCTCCAGAGAAGGACAAGCCCGTCCCAGGCCCCCCTCCTGCTCCTGCTGAGGCCCCTGGAGCCCCCAGAGAAGCCCAGGCCTCCACCGCGGAACAGGAAGGAGGCTCTGCAAGCTGTGAAGGTGAGCAGGGCAGGGTGGGGAGGACCATTGCTGGCAGGAGGGGGGTCCAGGGAGGGTCTCCAAGGCTTCTCTCTCGCAGGGTCAAGTTCAGCAGTCCCTGATGGCCCTGGTGCCCCCAATGGCCTTGCTGCCCCTGATGGCTCTGGTGCCTCCAGCGATCCCATTGGCCTCTTTCTGATGCGGCCACAGGATGGCGAGGTGACCGTGGGTGAGTGCGGGGCTGCGACACCCAGGGGTGAATGGGCGAGGAGGCAGCAGGGCATCCGCCAAGCCCCGCCCGTCGCCCCTCTCCTGCAGGGGGCAGCATCACCTTCTCGGCTCGCGTGGCCGGGGCCAGCCTCCTGAAACCGCCCGTGGTCAAGTGGTTCAAGGGCAAGTGGGTGGACCTGAGCAGCAAGGTGGGCCAGCACCTGCAGCTGCACGACAGCTACGACAGGACCAGCAAGGTGGGCCTGCAGGACATGGGGGCCTGGCTACAGGGGTGGGGGATGCATGGAAATGGCACACAGCCCCTGGGAGGTATGGGGTGCCCAGGGAGGCCTGGGGAAGACCGTGAGATAGGAGGTGCAAAGATGGCCGTGGGGAGTCTGGGAAGCATGTTTGGGAGCTGGGGCTCACGGAGCATGGGGAGGTTTGGGGGCCTTGTGGAGAACGCGGAGCTTGGAGGGCAT